GTCTGTGTCGCTGTGGGATTACCATTCTGGTTCTAGTTATTGTGGCCACAGTGTCACAGCACCCATCAAAAACCCCATCACTGCAGCCCCAGCCTCAGCCCTGTCCTCCCGAGGCAGTGATGATGCCCCCAGGATTCTAAACGGGGCCACATCCCAGGGGTGTGGTGACTCCCACAGCTGTGCAGCCAGAACCCAAACCCTTGGGGGAGACTGGACAGGGATGGCCCACAACCCCCTACACTTCACCGGCTCCGTGGTGGTCACCACCACCAGGCTCCTGTCCAAGTCCATCAGTTCGTGAACTCATCGAGCAAAAGCTGCCCAAATCTCAGCCATACCTCCTTTCGAGGGGCACCTCTGCTGGACCTCTCAGACCAGGACGGTCCCAGACCACCGTCCACTGGCATCTGTCCAGCGGCTCAGGAAGCTCCCTCCCTCAGAACAGGTGGGGGCCACAGTTGGAAGGCACACAGACCCCACTCTGCCAGAACCCTCTGTGTCCCCTGGCTGGGCGGGAACAACACAAGAAGGGGCTAGCCTCACGAGCTGGCACTACACCTGCCCTGTGGACATTGGGCCACCTGGACACACCACCGTATCCCACGCCACTCTGCGCCTCACACCACCCACACCACACAAACCCAACACCCCACGCCACTCTGTACCAACATCCTCCACATCCCACACTACCTCATACCGTAAACAAACCCACACCTAGCGACCCAGTACCCCACAGCACCCCACATCCAGCACCACCAGTTCCACATGCCCTGCCTCAAGAGAATTGGGGCTCGGCCCTCTGTGTACCAGAAAGGTGGCAGGGGTTCCGCTTCAGGAAAAGATGATTGAATTTGATTTTGGAAATGTTACTTTCAGGAGAAGCGGTGGACCCATGTGCCCACGGCCCTGGGACTCACCAGGCTGGACCGTCCACCCAAGAGCCCAGCAGCCCTGTTGGCCTGGCCTGAACCCGACCACCCCAGGGGGGCCCACTGAGGACACTTGCCGCACACTCAGACACGAGGACCTTCCAGGGATGGACACCCTCCCCAAGGCCAGTCCTCGGACGGATCCGGACACGGACCCCGAGCCTGTGTGAGACCACCAGCAGGAGATGGGGCCGTCCTCTGGGTCAGCTGCCTCGGCCCAGCTCTGCCTGAACCCTAAAAGGACTTGGGGTGCCCCCAAGCCCTGGGGACCCTCCCATGAAGCCTTGCTTCTGCCCACCCCTTCAGTGGAATGCGGGGTCACCCACGCGCTTCTTGGGGAAACAAGAGCTGATGGTGGCAGCCTGACCACCCCACCTGCACACGATCATGGAGGAGACAGATGCACTGGGCACCTGGGTGGACGGGCCCCCTGGACACGTGGGCCAGGAGGCTCTGGCAGGGTGAGGCCCATCCTGCCACACACAGGGATTTTTGTCAAGGTCCTTCCTACTATGTTTCTATGGTAGCTACTCTGGTTACTACCACAGTGACATACCAGGCAGCAAAAACATGCTGGGGTCAGTGGGCCCTCAAGTCGAGAATGCAGTGCTCCCCAGGTTCAGAACCCAGACCCTGAGCCTCCAGGGCCGCCCCTAACCAGTCAGCCCATGGGCTCGTGTCCAGCCACAGCCTTCATCCCCATGGGGGCTTCAAAGCACTCTGCGGTGACCACACTGTTCCCACAGCCACAGGCACAGAGCCCAGCAAGTTGACAGAAAGCACTGTGGCTCTCAACACCACTGGACAAAGGAGTCAGGAAGGACAGAGCCTGTCCCGGGCAAACCCTCAGAGGTCAAGCTCCCAAAAGGACACCAGAGGCCCTTGGGGAGGCTGACAGGAGTGGACGCTGGAGCTGGGCCTGTGCTCAGCTGTATAGGAGTTCGACCAATGTGAGGGGAGGCAGCGTTCACGCAGGGTGGGAGCACCTCAAGTCTGCTACTGATCCTGGGGCAGGTGGGTCCCGTTCCTGGCCTGGCCTGAGAGGGCTACAGGGGCCTCTCCCTGAGGAGCGGGGTTGTGCAGGCTCTCAGTTGAGTGGTGTCTCGCTAAGGTCATGGCCAGGAGGCCCACCGTGCTAGGTATCCACCGCAGAGAGTGGGCTCCAGGGAAAACCCCTCCGAGGATCTGGCCCACCCACACCTCCTGCCCAACCCCACACTGAGGACCCGGCCTCTAACCAGGCGCCCGCCCCCGGAGAATGCAGCGGCAGCTGAGAGACCCCAGCGCTGGGACATGTTCGTCACACTACAAATACATGGCACACCCACATTGGAGCTGTCATCCGTCTTGGTGACAACTTTTCCCTCAAGGGCTTGAGGGTCAGCCCTGCCTGCCCTCAGCCCTGGGAGCCCCTCAGCAAACCCCTCCAAGGTCCTGCCCACAGCCCGATCCACATACAACGCCCCCTCCCAAAGTCCTGTAACCCTGAAGGCTAGAACCCGAGGCCTCTCATGACAGCCGTGCTGTGCCCGTGCGTGCACACTGAGGTCCCAGAGCCCAGGCCAGGGGAGTCCATCCAGACCCCTGCACCAAGAGACAACCGCACCTCAAGCCTACATCCCCAGGAAGACCCTGGCCCCCCTAAAAGGCCGGCCTGAGAAATCTCAGAGCTGCCAGGAAAATCAGCCGTGGGTTACAGCAGACACCTGACAGCCTGGCCCAGTCCTCAGAGCATTTTCTGAGATCCTGCCTCTTCCCTTTGAGGTGCGTGTGTCACCACAAGACAGGATCATCTCCATCCAGGACTGAGACCCGCTCCTCGGAGACAGAATCACCAGGAAAGATGGGCCTGGGGCTCCAGTCTCTGTGAGGACAGGAACGGACTCTTCATTCCGGCCAGCGGACTCGGCGGCCTCGTGGCGTCTACACAGACCACCCGTTCTGATCCCTCACGGGAGCCCCGCTCCGCCCTCCAGGCCCCTCACTCTCCCTCTGACACGACCACATTCTCTGTGCAAAGCCAGATGCAGATCATGATCACCCTGTCCCTACCGTCAGTAGTGACTGAAAGAACCTGTTTCCACCACTTAACTCACGTGGAAGGCCCCTGACGGTCAGTGAGTGAACGCCTGCCATGGACAGCAAGGGCCCAATGAACTCAGAGCCCAGGCTATGAGGATCCCAGGTGGCAGAGGCCATCGCTGCAGCCCTCACAGCTCATCCCTTCCTCAGGACAACCGCAGTCCCCACAGCCGACTCAAAGGATGCAGGCCGAGCACCACACTCACCTAGGCATCCAGCACTTTGGGCCTGGGGAGGGTGGCCCCAGCCCGCCTGCTGGCCCCCTGAAGACACAGGACAAATTGGGAGCTCTGGAATCCTGTCCGAAGCAGCAGACGCAGCTGTCTGGCCAGCAGACCTCACTGTAGCCGCTCTGGGAACCCCCTTGCCCCTCTGGAGGACAGCACTATGGCACTTGCCCCCTCACAGGGCTCTGGGTGCTCCAGCAGGGACCCTCAGGCAGGAGGAGCAGGGGGGATGTGGGGTCAGGCAGAAGAGACACCGAGTCCTCCCCTGCACCTGCACCTGAGTCTCCCCGAGCTCCCAGGAGGCCACTTGCCTGCTGAGCCCACCCCAGCCCCTCTTGATCTCTGCCTCTGTCCACAGGTCCGCCTCTACCTCCCAGGCCCCCACCCACGCCACCTCTCAGAGGGGTTAAAGGGTGGGTCTGTGTCACTGTGTTATTGCTCTTCTACATATGATTATGGCCACAGTGTCACAGGACCCATTAAAACCTCTGTCCTCACAGTCCAAGCCACTGCCCTGCCCTCACGAGGCAGTGACACTGTCCCCAGGATTCTGAACGGCGCCATATCCCAGGGGTGTGGTGACTCCTACAGCAGTCCAGCCGGAACCCAAACCCACTGGGGAGACAGGCACAGAAACGGCCCACAATCCCACATGCTTCCCTGACTCGGCAGCGGTCACCACCACAAGGCTCTTGTCCAAGTCCATCAGTCCATGAAACAAAACCGAGCCACCCAAATCTCAGCCAGACCTCCCACCGAGGGGCACCCCTGCTCGGCCTCCCAGACCAGGAGGGCACTAGGCCACCATATGCTGGCATCCGTCCAGCAGCTCAGGATGTTCCCTCCCTCGGGACACGTGGGGACCGCAGCTGGAAGGCACAGCGACCCCACCATGCCAGGAATCTGTGAGCCTCCCTGGGTGAGCAGGGGCAGCATGAATGTGGGGCTGGCCCCGTAAGCTGGCACTACACCTGCCACGCGGCCATTGGGCCACATGAACACACCACCCTTTCCCCACACAACTGTGTGCCCCAGGCCGCTCACACACCCAATACCCAACCCCACCCCACATCCCACACCCCTGTGGGCCCCACACCACCACCACACGAACCCAACACACTCACACCACCCCGTAACTGACCACATCCTACATCCACATCTCCCACATCCCACACCACCTCGTACCCCACACCAAAGACTGCTGAGGTCTATAAATAACCAGATCTGCTGGAAGTGTTTACCTGACTCAGTGAGACCACACTCTAAGGGGGCATTTCTAGGGTTTCTAGACATCTTAAGTGTAAGGAGCTGGAAGACCGGGATGGTTTTATGAATTCAATGAGAGCAGCATTTTGGGAGACACACTGATCCCAGGAATAAGATCTTCAGACATCAGAGCCCAGAACAGGTTCAGGTGGACTCTGTTCCATTCAAAGGTGGGTTCACAATGAGGATCATGTCATGCGGGGGGTTATTCCTCGTTGGGAGGAGCTCTGTCCGCAGAGTTTGGGGACATGGCAGGGGACACATATCCTCACACAGGATTAGGACTTGGGATCCCAGCATCCCACTGAGCATGGTCCCTGTGTCACGGATCTTCTTCTCTCAGGTTAAGACAAGTCTTGACTATGAAATATTTAGCCTCAGGAACATACAAATAAGTGGACGAGTACTAGGTTAAATATGGACGTGTCTGTGCCCTGAGAGATCACTCAGCACCCACCCCCGCCCAACAGAGGCCCCGAGAGCACAGCCCCTCACCATGGACCAGAGCTGGGGAATCCTCCTCTTGGTGGCTGTGGATACAGGTAAGGGGCTTCCCAGTTCCTGGGGTGAGGAGGAGACCAGGAACAGTGAAGGGGGATTCTATCCACTCGCGTCTCCTCTCCTCAGGTGTCCACTCCCAGGTGCAGCTGGTGTAGTCTGGGGCTGAGGTGAGGAAGCCTGGGGCATCAGTCAAAGTCTCCTGCAAGGCATCTGGATACACCTTCACTGACTACTTCACACACCGGGTGCAACACGCCCCTGGACAAGGGCATGACTGGATGGTACGGATCAACCCAAACAGTGGTGGCACAGACTATACACAGAAGCTCCAGGGCAGAGTCACCATGACCAGCAACATGTCCACGAGCACAGCCTACATGGAGCTGAGCAGTTCAAGGTCTGAGGACACAGCCGTGTATTACTGTGGGAGAGACGCAGTGTGATAACCCACATCCTGAGTGTGTCAGAAACCCTGAGGGAGAGGGCAGCTGTGCTGGGCTGAGGAGGTGACAGGGACAGTTAGGTTCAAGGCTTTCTTAGGAAACAGGGCTAAGACATTGAGGAAATGACCAACAGAATCATGTGTACATGTACTTTATGGGGGATTCTCCACTCAATAATCACCCTGTGAACAAAATGTAGTGGGTGAGGAGAATCTCCGTGAATATTGCAGATGGCAGCATTCCCCTGCAGGTTTTTGTATGAAGCTAAATATTTAAATGACTGGGGTGACTACCAAAGATTAGAACTGACCCATCAGGTGAGAAGTCTAGGTGTACCTCCACAGGAAAGTGCTAAAACCCCATCCAGGTGCTTCTGCCATGTTGCACCCCTTCCCCTGGGTGAGAGTTCCTGTTGCTCCACATCCTCTCCAGCATTTGGTGCTGTCAGTGTTTTAGATTCCCACCATCCTAATAGGTGGGTAGTGGTATCTCGTTGTTTTAATTTGCAATTCCCTAGTGACATATGATGTTGAGCATCTTTTCATCGGCTTATTTTCCATCTGTGTAACTTCTTTGATGAAGTTCAGGCATTTGGTCCATTTTTAATTGAGTGGTCTGTTTTCTTCTGATCAGTTGTAAGTATCCTTGTGTATTCACGGTACAAGTCTGCACCAAATATGCTATTTGAGAATGTATCTTTCTGTCTCTGGCTTGCCTTTAGATTCCTATAATTCTGCCTTCCACAGAACAAGCATTTCTGATTCTGATGCATTCTATTTATCAATTTTTTTCAGAGAACATATTTTTGGTCTCATTTGTAAAATCTTGTCCACAAATCCAAGGACATCCAGAAGCTCTCCCAAGTCCCTATGTGAGGCCACCGTTAAGGGCTGGGGCTTCAGCTCCATCCTGAAGGGGGAATTGCATCAGCTACTTCGAATTCTTCTCTGTGGGAGATTGGTCTCCTCCCCTCATGTGTTTCTTTGCTTCATTTTTTAGTATCAGTATGGATACTTTTGTACCCTTTGGGGGCATTTTGTGGTTGGATCCTAGATGCTTTTGAAATTCCCCTGTGATTTGTTTTCTGAACAATTCTTTATTCCCTCAACGACATGATGTTCCAGCCTCATGTTTCATATTCCTTTCCAAGCCCTAGAACTAGCCATTTCTCTAGGTAATTCTGTTTTCTTTTGTTGTGGAATGGTATTAGAAACCAATAGTTTGGTGCTGGTGTGCCCTTTGCTACGGGGGTGTCATTGCATACTTGCCAACAATTGGCAGGGTCAGGTCTGCAGATTTTAGCTATGCTAATGGGCCAGCAGTAGCAGGTTGGGGTGAGGGGAGCTATTGGGGGAGGAGTCTGGCTTTGCTGTGATCCTGATGCTCTTGGAGATGTTGACTCTGCATGTGCCCATCCCTCACTAGAGACAGACCCTCGCTCTCCTGAGAGTCCACTGTTACGTGGCCCTTCACGGAAGGGGAGTGGTCGCACACAGAAGCACAGGCCTTAGTACAAAGATGGGGCTCCAGACCCCCATGTAGAAAATCTGCTCTTTCCCACACACACTAAAGCGAGCCTGAGGACCCGATCCCCAGGGGCCCTGCTGACGCTCACAGGACAAGCTGAATCCTTGTCAGGGGAGATCCCTCTGCCTGTGGCACCTCACAGAGCAGGCGCCCAGACCTGCAGAACTGGCACAGGGCTGGTGTGCAAGGTGAGTGTCTCACACAGACTGTCCTTGTCCCCAGGTGTCCTTCCTGGCTGAGCTGGAGGAGCTCACCCACCATCCTCTGCTGTTCTCAGCCAGCGTCCAGAGAAAGGGCTGGAGGTCAGGGGGCATTGGGGCTGCCCATCTGATCCTGCCAGACGAAAAATCATTCATGTCACTTGTTGAAGGTGGTAAGGCAGACTTTATTCCAAGGGGTCATCATGATAGGTGTAGTGCCCACTGCAATAGGGGTGTTGATTGGGCTCAAACACGAAAGCAGGAGTGGCCAGTGGGATTAACAGCCAAGAGGCAGGTGCGGGCAGTGGATGGAAACTACTAAGAGGAATCATCAGAGCTGGGGCATCCTGGTTTAACACATGTAACGGGATTCTGGCTGAAGGCTGGCCAGGAGGTCAGACATCACTGGGGTGGAGGGGGATGGGGAACCCAATCAGATATGAGGGTGGTCAGATGAGGGTGATCAGGTGAGAGTGATCAGATATGAGGGGGATCAGATATTGTGGGTCATCAGATATGGACGGTGAACAGATGAGGGTGGTAAGGTATTGAGGGTGATCAGATAAAGGTGGTCAGAGGAGGGTGATCAGATGAGGGTGGCCAAGGGTCACTATGTCCATGTCTGTCCTCAGCCCTGTCCCTGGCTCATGCTCCAGATGGTGTTCTCCGTGCCCCAGGAAGCAGCATTCTGAAGCCTGTGCATGGCCATTAATACTGGACAAGAGACACTGAGAGGTAAATGCCCCATGAGTCCAGACAAGACCCTTCCTGCAGGGCAGGGGTTGGACGGCAGGGGTCGCTCAAGACTACCCAGCACAGGGTTCCAGCCTCAGGAACAGGTGCCGAGGGGCTGGGGCTTTCCTCTCAGGTCTGGGTTTCTGTTTTTTAAAAAACAAACAAAAAACATATTTAGGCAAGCATTTTTGAAGTGTCTTAAAATATCTGATTCTATTGGGAGAATTTACTAAACACAATAAGAAAAGGAAAACCACATTAAAAAGGAGGTTTCCAGGACTTCTACATATATATATTTTTTTTTTTTTCTGGTGAGGAAGATTGACTCTGAGCTAACGTCTGTGCCCATCTTCCTCTATTTTGTATGCAGGACGCTGCAACACATGGCTTGATGAGCAATGTGTAGGTCCGCACCCAACCTTTGAAACCCAGGGCACCGAAGCGGAGATGTGAACTTAACCACTATGCCACAGGGCCAGCCCCTAGATATCTTAATAGTGACAATCTGAATGACAAAGATGGTGTTTTTAGTTCAAGGTTTGCAAAATTTTGTCAGATACTCTGATCCCAAGAATAAGACATTCAGATATCAAAGTCCAGAACAGGTTCAGGTGGGTTCACAGAGAGAAGCATGTCCTGTGGGGGCTTGTTCCTTAGGGTCTGCACACAGTTCTGGACACGGCAGGAGACACACATATTAAAACAAAGATTAAGACTAGGACCCTCCTCATCTTGTTGAACATGGTCGCTGTATCATCTGTCTGCTCATTCTCAGATTGGGCCACAAATTCAGCTATGAAGTATGCTGCTTCATGAATATGCAAATGATCAGGGTCTATTGAGGTACATATAGATATGTCTGTTTCCTGAGAGCATCACCCAACAACCGCCCCATCCCCTACAGAAGCACGGAGAGCACAGCCCCTCACCATGGACTGGAGCTGGAAAACACTCTTCCGGGTGGCAGTGGCTACAAGTTAGCGGCTCCCCAGTCCCTGGGTTGAGCAGGGAACCAGGAGCAGTGAAGGAGGGTTCCACACACACATGTCTGCTCTCCACAGGTGTCCACTCCCAGGTGCAGCTGGTGCAGTCTGGGGCTGAGGTGAGGAAGCCTGGAAGGCATCATAGAAGGTCTCCTGCAAGGCATCTGGATACACCTTCACTAGCTACTATATGAAGAGAGTGCGACAGGCCCCTGGACAAGGGCTTGAGTAATGGGATGGATCTACCCAAGCAGGGGTGACACAAGCTATGCACAGACGTTCCAGGGCAGAGTCGCCATGACCAGCGACACGTCCACGAGCACAGCCTACATGGAGCTGAGACGTCTGAGATCTGAGGACACAGCCGTGCATTCCTGCATGAGACACAGTGTGATGACCCACATCCTGAGTGTGTCAGAACCCTGAGGGAGAGGGCAGCTGTGCTGGCTGAGGAGATGCAGGGATGATGATTCTCCTGACTCCTCAGAGCAAAGAGTCAGGAATCTGAGACAGAGGATGATGTTCTCACGTGGACACTACTCTTTTCCACAAAGGTTTTAAGATCCCAAGTGCTTTTTGAGCAAGATTCGGGGAGGACATTTTGCCAAAAGACCCTTGTCATTTATTTAAGTTTTCCAGTGGGGATAAAGTGTTTCTTTGTTCTTTGGAAGTGCCTGTTGTGGGGTCATCTGGGAATATTTGGTTGCTGTCAGATTTGGGATTCCTGGACTGTAGAGCTCTCCCTAAAATTTCTCTTTCACAGTATTTTTGAAACCTGGAATTATGCTTGGGGAAAGTAAGGATATAAAAGTCAAGGATGGATTCTGTTCCCAGTCTCTGGCCCAGCATCACACACATGACATTCTGGTAGGACAATCGTGATCACATGGTGACAAAGTCATGGGTGGACAGGTTTGCCAGGTTGAAGCACAGTCTACATCAGCACCTCATTCTTTCAGTCCTCTCCTTCAGTGGGGATTTCCTAGAAAGGTGCGTCCACACAGACCACAACCCTGAGAGAGTTCCTGTCCCTGGGAAGTGCTGATCGTCCCCACACAACAGGGAGCAGCATGTGGGGATCCTTGGTAACATGAGACTCACATCCCAGCCTGTGTGACTTTCCTATGATCACTGTGTCAAATTACCACAAAATTGAGGCTTAAATAAATCAACACACATTTCTTCTCTCACAGTCTGGAGTCAGAGCCTGAAATCAGTTTCCCTGTTCTGATATCAAGGAAGGGGCAGGGCTATACTTCCTCCAGAGACTATGGGGAGTGCTATTGTCTGGGTATGTGTGTCCCCCCAAAATGCATCTGTTGAATCCTAACCTCCAAATATGATGATTTTAGTAGATGGGATCACTGTGAGGTGCTTAGTTCATGAGAGTGGAGGCCTCATGAGTGGGATTGGTGCCTTTCTAATGACACCCCAGAGAGCTCACTTGTCCCTTCCACCACGCCAGGACACGGCAAGAAGTTGCCAACTACAAACTGGCAAGAGGACCCTCCCCAGAAGCTGAACATGCTGACAATTTGATCTTGGACATCCCAGC